AATGGATGAATCTATATTAAAATAAATGCACCAATAATCTCAAAAGGAATTGGGACAAGTGGTCAAAGAGCTATCATTTCTTTTAAAAAAGGCTCCTAAATGATTTCTATATAATCTTCAAATTATGTCTCCCTCATTAAAAAAAAGTCCTTTTTAAATTCTGACTAAATGTATTACATTTGTTATATTAATTTGAAAAGATCAATATTTTTATAACATTAAATTTTCCCACTTGGCAACACTAAAATTTAGATTACAAGAAGTACTACTTACAATTCCATCTTAATAAATTCATATAACTTATAATTAACTACTTTATCACTGAGTTAAATTATTCCAAAAACCCTCTAATTGTTCTTCCTGACTGCAAAATCCAATCTGTACCCCAAAATTCATCTTTCATACAGCTGGCATAGTAATCTTAATAAAAAATACCAAATGGATCATTCTTAATATTCTTCAATAAATCCCCATTTCTTACTCAAAATACAAACTATTAATGCCATCCATACTTGGCCTCTCTCAGGATTCCTACTACTCTTCTCCTTAATCCAAAAATCCTATCATACTCAAGCACTTGAATTTCTCTGAATAGCCTCTGTTCCCTCGGGTCTTTGTCTTTATACATATTATTTCTAAATAGAAATCCTTCCTGTTTTCTAACACCATATTCTCAATTGCTATGTCATAATTCCCTTTTTATATTGCATTTATTATGTTGGAATTAGGGATATTATGTATCAACTATGTGCTAACATATTCAGCTTTGAAATTAATATAGTCAATTATATCTCATTTTTTAAAATAAATTCTTTAGAAGCCTTAGATTAAAAAATTCAGTATTTTTATCAAGTCTGCACCTTCTATATTACATTATATTATGATATATGCAACAAATTTATTCAATTTATTCACATACATATAGAATGCAATTATAGTTACTGTTTATATATTTAATATCCTTAATACTTAAAGAGTAAGTACTTTTAACAGAAAGAGTTCTTGGCACTATGCATAGAAAAGACAAGTTAAGTTTCTATAAACTTTAAAAATTGATGATCCTTGAAAAGAAACAATAAATGGGGAGATCACATTTGCAAGTACGCTTAGTCATTTTAGCCCACCAAAAAATAGAGAGGATCCTGGGCTATCCAGTCCAACCAGGGTATATCTTATAACTCTTCAAATCTGGTCAAGTTATTTAACATCTCTGAGTTTCCTCTTCTAAAAATGGAATACAGTAGTCTCCCCTTATCCATGGTTTTGCTTTCTGCAGTTTCAATTACCTATGCTCAACCCCAGTCTGAAAACAGTTGACTATAGTCAGAGATCAATAGTAGCTTAATACTATGGCACAATGCCTATGTAATTTCACCTCACTTTATCTCATCATGTATACATTTTATCATCTCATGTCATCACAAGGAGGAGGAATACTGTACAATGAGATTTTGAGAGAAATCACATTCATATAACTTTTATTGCAGTATATTGTTATAATTGTTCTATTTTTATTATTGTTGTTAATCTCTTATTGTGTCTAATTAATAAATTAAATTCTAGCATAGGTATGTATGTATCTATGTATGTATAAGAAAAAGCACAGAATATACAGGGTTTGGAACTATCCACAGTTTCAGGCATCCCCTGAGGGTCTTGGAATGTATCCCTATGGATAAGGGAGGACTACTATGATAGTAATTACTGCTAAGCCTACTAAAATATGGTATATGTGATTTGACTCAGAAAACAGTCAAATATGTAAAATATTTCTATATTCTAAAATTTTAGGTTACAAAAAAATATGTCCTCATCCATATGATTAAGCTGCCAATTAACCCACCTAGTGGATAGTTGCCTAAAGTAAATGCACTCTATTTTTCTAACAAATAATCTGAAAAGCAAGTTAATAGAATAACAAAACACTTTATAACACTTTATCTAAGCATGATTTTGTTAAGTACAATCCTGCTAGTCCATATGATGTCTTTGATGAAAAAAGACCCTTTGTTCAGGCAAATGCAGCCCTATGCCAGGGTACACAGTTGGCAAACCATGGGCTAGATTTCAACATCTGCTTTTCCCTTAACCCACTCCCTGCACAATTGTACAAAGTAAGGGCAGCCTTGGGTCCAAATGGATTATTTAATCTACATCCTTGAAAAGAATGTTAGAATAATTACTGGAATAATGATCCTCTAAAAGGTACACAACCAACAGCAACAAAAAACTAGTTCATTTAAAAACTAAAATAAAGTTTTATAGGACTTATTAAAACATTTTAAAAGCATTATAATTACTTGAACAAATAGATAATAATACCAATTGATTCTATTATACATGCTGCCTGAGGAAGCAAAACCAAATATATTTTCGCTAACTGCAAATGCTGAGTAGGGTTCAGAGAACCTTATTTGCAGTTCAGATTTCACTACCAATTTATTCTCTAACCCCAAGCAAGTCACTTTTTAGCTTCTATTGATCTCTGCAAAATAGCCTAGATCAATGATAGTTCAGAATAGAGTTTGGAAGAGGAAAATAAATTACTTTAAAATTCTCATTAAATCCATAGACCTTCTCCAGAAAAAATTATACTTACACAAAAAATTTTGACTTTAAATTCAGACAAAAAAGAAATTTTAAATGACATTAGCTGCCACAGACTGAATGTTTATGCTCCCCCTCCCAATATTCATATACTGTAACCTAATCCCCATGTGATGGTATTTGGAATCACCTTTGGGAGGTGATTAGGTCATGAAGGTAGTACACTCATGAATGGTTTAATGCCTTTATAAAAGAGGCTCCAGAGATCTCCCTTGCCCTTTCTGCCATGTGAAAACACAGAAAGAAGATGGTCTTCTATAAACCAGGAATTTGGCTCTCGCCAGACACCAAATCTGCTGGTGCCTGATCTTAGACTTCCCAGCCTCCAGAACTGTAAGAAATAAATGTTATTTAAGTCACCCATTCTTTATCATAGAATACTACTGTGGTCTGAATTTTTGTGTCTCTCCTCCCCTCCCCCGCAAATTCATATGTTGAAATCCAGTGCCCAGTGTGTTGGTATTAGGTTGTGGGGCCTTTGAGAAGTGATTAGGTCATGAGGGCAGAGCCCTTGTGAATGAGATTAATGTCCTTATAAAAGAGGCCTGAGAGAATGCCCTTGACTTTTCTGCCATGTGAGAAAGAATAAGAAGTCTGCAATCCAGAAGAGGGCCCTCACCCCACCATATTGACATTCTAATCCTGACCTTCCAGACCCCAGAACTGTGAGAAATAAATTTCTGGGGTTTTTAAATTTCATTTTACTTTTTTTTAAAGATTTTATTTATTCATTTATTTAGAGAGGGAGAGAGAAGGTGTGCACACACATGAAAAGGGAGGGGCAGAAGGAGAGAGGGAATTTCAAGTAGACTCCATGCTGAGCATGGAGCCCCACACAGGGCTCGATCCCACAACCCTGAGATCATGACCTGAGCTGAAATCAAGAGTCAGATGCTCAACCAACTGAGCCACCCAGGCGCCCCAAATTTCTGTTGTTTATAAACTAACCAGTCACTGATATTTTTTTAAAACACTCTGAATGGACTAAAACACAGTCCAAATGAACTAAAACACTAACTTCTAATATTAATTATATAATGGGATTACAATAATTTGATTAATATACAAAATACTGTTCTATATAAAATAAAATGGTAAATGTGGTAGGCAGAATTCTAATATGGCCAGCATGATCTCCATCCCTGTGGTTATGCTCTGAATATTCCACTCCCTTTGAGTATGGGTGGGACCTGTGATTTGCTTCTAGCCAATAGAAGATAACAAAGTGATGAGATGCCACTTACTTTATTAGATTGTAGTATATAGCTAAAGTGACAAGGTATCATTCTCATGATCATGTTACATTATTTAAGGCTCTGTCTTAGCCAAAAAGAGAAATCTTGGGCTGGCCTTGAGGAAGAAGCAAGCTGCTGTGATGTAAACTGCCTGTGGAAAAGGTCCCATGGCCAAATGCCTCAGTCCTAGGAAGGAACTGAAGTTTGACACATCCACTTGAGCTTAGAAGAGTACCCTAACTAATAGAATGGAATAGAGCCTACCTAACACCTTAATTGCCTTTAGTGAGCATAGGACCAAGCTAGGACATAGCTAAGCCTGCTCAGCCTCCTAACCCACTCAAACCGTGAGATGATAGAAGTTGTTTTAATAACTGAAAAATTTATGGTAACTTGTTATGCAGAAATAGAAAATTAAGACCATAAAGCTGAATATTTTATATTCAATATCTCAAGTGGTACTCTCATTTTCTTCCCAAATTTACGTTACCTGATTCTTAAAGCATTCAGGTGCATGCTTGTGGGACCCTTAACTCCAGCCACTCACTGAAATGAGTGGTATGATACTCTGGCTGTTATTTAAAAAAGTTTAACTTGTACCAAAAAAAAAAAAAGTATTCCAAAGTCAAGATGAAATAAAAGGTTACTTACCTTTCATTGGATCACATAAAAAAGAGTGGGCTCTATAGTTCACAATTACTGAAGGGCTTTTTCTTATTTGATTTTTGTAACTCTTATATCACCTTTTTGAGATAGAGAAGATATTGTTTTACCCATTTTACTGACCAAAAATATAAAGCTCAAGTAGTTTAAAGGGACTTGTCCAGTGTCACAGAACTTAGTAAGACCCTGTTTTAACTCCCAATATGATCTTATTTCCTCCATGATATTACCTGTAGTTGAGTAAACCATGGTAATCTTCATAACCTTGACAATAAACATGCTTGGATTTACCATTTTATTTTCTGAAACTTATTGAGAAAAGTCAACCAACAAGGAAGAAATATCTTAGAAAGAACTTTAATACACACATACAAATATACACACATACACATACACATCCCTATGTTCACATGCATACTAATGTTGTCTACACATATAATTATCAGAGAATATACTAATTAAATTTAGATGCATAGAGAGAGTATGTGTTCTTACCTGGACTTGAAACAAATCTCCTTTTATTTTAAGGTCTTTGACTAGAGATTTCTTCCTGTTATTAAAAAGGTTTTTAAATATATCATGATATTTTAAATTGCATGACTGCTTTCTTTAGTACTTAAACCATTTTTAAATAAGATTTCTCAAAAGAAATTCATATTTTTAAGAATCATAATCCATATAAGTGATAAATAATTGAATAACATTTCTCAAGCTAATTTCTCATTGGTATGATTAAAATATGGAAGTGAGATAAGGCAAGGATTTTCAAAGTACATTGATCATTTTTTCCTCTCTGGTCATCTTTTCTTAAGTTTTCATTTAAATTCCAGTTAGTTAATATACAGTGTAATATTAGTTTCAGGTGTACAATGCAGTGATTCAACACTTCCATACAACACCCAGTGCTCATCACAGTACACTCCTTAATCCCCATCACCTATTTAGCCCACCCCCTTACCTACTTCCCCTCTGGTAACTGTCAGTTTGTTTTCTATAGTTAAGAGTCTGTTTCTTGGTTTGCCAACAACACAAGAAACAGTAGGTGTTGGCAAGGATATGGAGAAAGGGGAACACTCTTACATTATTGGTGGAAATGCAAACTGGGCAGCCACTCTGGAAAACAATATGGAGCTCCCTCAAAAAGTTAAAAATAGAACTATCCTACGATTCAGCAATTGCACTACTAGATATTGACCCAAAGAATACAAAAATACTAGTTCAACAAGATATATGCACCCCGATGTTTATAGCAGCATTATCTACAAAGGCCAAATTATGGAAACAGCCCAAGTGTCCATTGACTGATGAATGGATAAAGAAGATGTGATATGTGTATATAGATATACAAGTGCACTTGTGATGAGCAGTGGGATGTTTGGAAGTGTTTAATCACTGTATTGAGGCGCCTGGATGGCTCAGTTGGTTAGGCGACTGCCTTAGGCTCAGGTCATGATCCTGGAGTCCCTGGATCGAGTCCCGCATCGGGCTCCCTGCTTGGCAGGGAGTCTGCTTCTCCCTCTGACCCTCCCCCCTCTCATGTGCTCTCTCTCATTCTCTCTCTCTCAAATAAATAAATAAAATCTTTAAAAAAAAAATCACTGTATTGTACACCTGAAACTAATATTGCACTATATATCAAATAACTGGAATTTAAATAAAAACTTAAGAAAAGATGACCAGAGAGGAAAAAATGATCAATGTACTTTGCAAATCCTTGCCTTATCTCACTTCCATATTTTAATCATACCAATGAGAAATCAGCTTGAGAAATGTTATTCCACACACACACACACACACACAGGAACACACACTGGAATATTACTCAGACATTAAAAAGAATGAAATCTTGCCATATGCAATGATGTGGATGGAGCTAGAGAATATTATGCTAAGGGAAATAAGTTAGTCAGAGAAAGACAAATACCATATGTGGAATTTAAGAAACAAAACAAATAAGCAAAAGAAAAAAGGAAAGAGAGTGGTCATCTTTTCTGAGACAAAGGTCAAGGCTGTTTGTCCATCGAATTTCTTTTCAGAATTTGTAAAACTCTATAAAGATTAAATTCACAGTTTCTTTTAAAAATAATTTTATATTAGGATTTGACTAAAGCAAATTCAAAATGCAAAAAAATATTTTATATTACTAAAGAAAATATTCACTTAATAAGGCCACTTTACAATAATCCACATGCATAAAAAATAGATAATTGATTTTATAAAGTAAATATAATCAAGAAGTAGAGTAAAAAAAAGAACAGCCCAGACTAAAGAGTTAATGTGCAAATCACCAATCATTAACCAAACCATCAGGGAAACAATGTAAATCCTTTTGTCCCTAAAATGATTTTCAGATTTAATTCTGTTTACCTATTCCTTAATATCTTGTGTTTCATTCCCCACTAACCCCCCCTTTAGCTCTTTCTTCTTCCCTTCTCAGTCCTCTCCCACCATCATATCCTGGTCTGCTTATAAAACTATGTATTACGTAGTGTTATATCTTTTAGAAACTGTTAATAAGTTATGCTTATATGACCTCAAATTGTATAAAATGAAAATATAAATTAACAAGGAAAAAATATTAACATGTAGCTTTATGTCTTACTCTTCTGAATCCTCAGGTTTTCCTTTGTCTTTTTTCTTCTCAGTTTTTATAGTTTTCTTTGTCCTATTGTACGTTGACTTTGTTTTCTGTGTAATTTTATATAAGCCAGAAATAGATAGTTAATGAGGTAATAAATTAGACGGAAATAAAAGATAATAAACATTACCAAGATTTCAATTTTACTTTGAGAATCACTATGCTATGTTTCAAGGAAAATTATCTAAACGGAAGCAAAACAAAATTAAGGATACAGTCGGAATGTTTCTTATGGCAATTTATATATAAAAAAATTAAGTTCCCCTGGCAAATTGCAATCAATTCTTCTATAATATAACATATGCCTTTCTGAAAATCATCTCACTATGAAAAATCATGCACTAAGAACTTCAGGATATATGAGAGAAATGAGGTAAGGTGCCCAGCATGCAAAAAACACTGTCAATGATACATTTTAAAAAAAAATAGAAACCTAATAAAAACAGTTCTGTTTTACACAGTTAAATGATTTAAGAAATACTTAGTATGAGAAATATAGCTAGCTCTTTATCTTGAGAAAGACTTGAAACTTGTCTGTGGAAATGAGCATTGGATAGGTTGCAATTTGTTATTGTGGTTTTGGAAGAAGGCTTATCTAAAATCGGACAAAAAGTTGTAACAGATGTGGACTCGTGTGGTATACTAAAAACATGGTGAACCGAGATAGTGTATAGAGTAAATTTTCTGCTTTCACCTTGTACTTTTTGCAGATGAAATTGTACATAAACATGTAAAATTCATATTTGGTTCAAACTGATTGTGTTCAAATTTGCATTTCAAAGCAAATACAGGAGAACTAACCACATACTTTAAAGTATTTTTGAACTACTGTGTAGTACCAGATTATTTTATATAAGAAATTGAGAAAAAACTTAACAATTAGATTATTTAAATTTTTAGATGGCCTTAATAATAGAGACATATTAAGGCACGCATTAGGTGTTTATTTCCTGTTTTATACCAAAACTCCTAATAGACACAAATTCAGTAGTGGCAAAGTTCTCACAAGTTAAACAAAAAGTGTAATAATACCTCATAAAATATGAAAAATAAGTATAATTTTTAATGAGAATTGTTAAGGTCCCCAAATAACTTTCTAGTTTAAATATGAGTTTTGGGATATACTCCCTATATGGAAAAATCTAATATACATTGACAATCAAAAAATACTTTAAAAATGAAAAGGAAAAAGACTAAAAAATAGTGCTCAAAAAAAATGATCAACAGATTATCTGTGAGTTTTGAGAGAACTTAAAGCGACTAATATGCTTATAATCGCAGTACATGATGGAGAGAAGAGGTACGGAAAGAAAATATGTATTTGAAGAAACAATGGCCAAATTTTTTTTTTTGGAGTAATTTTTTAAAAATTTTTATTGTTATGTTAATCACCATACATTACATCATTAGTTTTAGACGTAGTGTTCTATGATTCATTGCTTGTGCATAACACCCAGTGCTCCATG